TGAAAAATAAGCTTGCCAAATGCTGTGCTATTCTTAGCAAGGCGAGTTATATATTGAACCCAAAATCACTAAAAATGCTTTATTTTTCATTGTTTTTGCCATATTTGATTTACTGTGTTGAAGTTTGGGGCAACATCTATAAGAGCACATTACAATCCATATGCACACTACAAAAAAGAGCAATAAGAATAATATGCAAAGTAGGATTTAGAGAGCACACCAATCGATTATTTTTAAAGCTATATACATTAAAATTCACAGACCTGGTAAAATTCAAGACAGCGCAAGTGTGAGACCCTCACAAAGAGTGAAATAGTTTTTATTTTACTTGAAAATGAAAATGAAAGTTTAAAGTATTTTAATGTACTGTACTGTGGTTATTCAGCCAAATAAAATCAGTAGAAATCCGCTGTAGATCACTAGGATGAGAAACGGAACCTTTCTGTCGTAGTCCTTGTTTCCAGGTGCTCCCTCCCCTCAGAGGAGTTTTGGGAACAAAAGAAAATGGTTCGGTGTTCTTAATCCTGTGATCATTCACTCTGTTTTTCAGGTTAGTACAACATGAAAACAACCTCAACTTATCCCTTAAGATTAAATAGTTTATGTGAAGTTACTGGGAGACAGTTTATGACATTTTTGAGTGCTTTAGATTGAGTTTTAGACACTATAAAAAGTCCGCGATTTTCGCGGGTTGTGTTGCTGTTGTTGCCACGGCAACGGGCGGCCTGGTGACACTAAAGATGGCGCCGCCCATGTACTAAACACAGAGAGATGGTTGTTTATATTCATCCACGATATTACTACGGTTGGTTACCTGATTACTTGACAACTGTATTTTATTAGGTGAAGGGTTTTGTTATCTCTACATTTATTATAATACTTTAATATTTCTTCTCTTTACATTTCCAAATATTTGTGTTTAAGGGTTTACTGTACACTATATGGGTTATGAAGATAAGTGCACTTATTGTTGTTGGAATGGTTTGAACATATTTGTTATTTTCCATTTGTATTTCCCATTTGCAATGATGTCAATACGTTTTGAAAAGACACAGTATTCTGAACAGCTTTAAGCTAAAGAAAATAAAAGTGAATTCATATTGCACTATACTTGTGATTAGTAACACTATAAAAACTGCACTGGCTAACAGTATTATTTATAATATATAATGGTAGCTATATGGGACCAGTACCTATACAGAGAGTGCCCGTGGATATATTTCAATGTGAAATGATGATGGGTTTAGGTGTTTATTGAAGTCAAAGCGTGATACTGAGTGTGAGGGGAACTAATGTATTTTGACAGAGTTAAATGGTTAAGTTGAATATAACAATAGCTTATAATGTATGTTTGTGTTCTATGGGATCAGAACAAACAACAACATTACATACTCACCTGTTTAATGGACACTGA